AAACGTTAACTCTGTTTTCTCCTTCACAGATGTTGCCAGACCTGCTGAACTTTTCCAGCAACTTTGTTTTTGTTCTGGATTGGTGTTGGTGTATTGGTAATAAAATGAAAGGGATATTTGACCAATCTATTCTAGTTTTTATCCCCACCACTGAAGGTGGGCAGAGGTAATGTTTTTGCCCTTGTTTGTTGGTCTGTTTATCAAAAAACAATATATGTCAAAAACTCATGAACAGATTTCAACTGTGAAACTTGGCACATAATTAGAAGAGCTGATTTAGTTTTGGTGAAGATGCAGATTCCGATCCTGAAATTTTCTTAAAAGATCCATTAACATTGGGAGATGAGCTGTACTGAGTTGTGATTATACTCCAAGCTAAGATCAATATATTTTTGGCCCCTATCGGCATCATGGCAGGAATTGAGCTTGAACATCAATTGTGATCTTATTGAAGAATGGCACAGCAGATTCAAAGGGCTGTATAGCTTACTACTGCTATTGTTTCTTATGTTCTCCTAGTTTTGTGTTAAGTAAAAATGTTGTACTCAGCTTTTTCCTTGCAAGTTCGAGCAATTCTTTTTAAAGGTAGCTGAGTTAGTTGATTTTTATTTTGAGGAAATTGACAGCAGCACTTGGTGCACACTATGCTTACTCTGAAGCCAGTTTCACTAGAGTCTTGAATGGTGCTATTACAACTCCCACCAAATGCCGTCCCCAACACGGATGCACGTACAGATGCTCATATGGGTGGGTGTGTGTGTGTGTGTGCGCGCGCGTGCGACACACACACACACACACACACACACACACACACACACACACACACACACACACACACACACACACACACACACACACACACACACACACACACACACACACACACACACACACATGAACTGCAATGGGCTAAATGCCAATTTTAGCTGGACCATTATGGCTTGTGGCATGTACCTGGTATGGTATTAGTGTGCACACAAAATGTGATTCACTCCATGTCCTATCAAGAAACAGTTGGATGCACTGGTTTCTGCAAAGCTTGTGGGCCCTGACAATTTTCCAGCAATAGCACTGAAACCCTGTGCTCCAAAATTTGCCGCATCCTTAGCCAAGCTGTTCTAGAACAGCTGCAACACCAGTATCTACCTGACAGTGTAGAAATTTTCCCAGGTATATCTTATGCATCTAAAGCAGAACAAATCCAGCCCAGCTAATTACCACCCCAATAGTGTACCCTCGATCCTCAGTAAACCGATGAAAGATGTCATCAACAGTGCCATCGAACAGCACTTGCTTAGCAATAACCTGCTCAGTTCAGGTTCCACTGGGTCCACTCAGCTTCTGGTCTCATTACAGACTTGGTTCAATTATGGAGAAAAGTGCTGATTTCCAGAGGTGAGGTGAGATTGATGGCCCTTGACATCAAGGTTGCATTTGACAGAATGTGGCCTCAAGGAGCCCTAGCAAAACTGGAGTTGATGGAAATCCGGGGAAAAACTTTCCGCTGGCTGGAATTATACTTGGTACATATGAAGGTGGTTTATGGTTGTTGTTCGGTCAACTCGGCTCCAGGACATCTCTGCAGGAGTTCCCCAGTGTAGTGCCCCAGGCCGAACTCATCTTCAGCTGCTTCGTCGATGACCTTCCCTCCATCATAAGGTCAACAGTGGGGATGTTCGATAATTTGCTCAAGTGCAACAAGATCTGGACAATATCAAGGCTTGGGCTGACAAATAGCAAATATCATATATGTGACACAAATGCTGGACAATGACCATTTCCAACAAAACACATTCTAACCGTTGCCCCAAGACATTCAATTGTATCACCATCACTGAATCTCCCACTATTAACATCCTTTAGGGTTATCAGTGACGAGAAACTGAACGGAACTGAACTAGCTATATCAATTCTGATGCAGGTCAGAGGCTAGAAATCTTGCAGTGAGTAACTCACTTCCTGGCTCTCCAAAACCTCTCCTCCATCTACAAGGCACAAGTCAGGAGTGTGATGTAATACTCTCCACATGCCTGGATGAGTGCAGCTCTAGAAACACTCAAGAAGTTTGGCACCATCCAGAAGAAAGTAGCCCACCTGATTGGCGCCAAAACCACAAAAATTCAGTTCATACATCACTGACACTATGTAGTAATAGTGTGTGCTCCATCTACAAGGTGCACTGCATAAATTCACAAAGGCTTTGACAGTACCTTCCAAATCCATGTCCAGCACCATCTAGAAGGACAAAGGTTACAGATACATGGTGAAAGTGCCACTTGCAAGTTCCCTTCCAAGCTACTCCCCATCCTGACCTGGAAAGATATCGCCATTCCTTCAGTGAGTCAAAATTCTGGAACTCCCTCCCTAAGGGCATTGTGGGTGCACATACACCAAATGGACAGCAGCTGTTCAAGAAGGTAGCTTGTCACCACTGTCTCAAGGGCAATGAGGCAATGCTGGTTTAGTCAGCAACACCACATTCTGAAAGTGAAATTTTAAAAAAGCACACCGTGTGTTACTTTGGACTTTTCGGCACTTGTTTATTGTCTAATTTTCCAGTTTCTAAAAGGATGTAATAGATTTGCAGAGAATCATCAATCTGCTGTATATTCACAGCAGCCTCACTCATCACCCAATGTGGCTAAGTAAATGTATTTTTTCTTTCATGTTAGTATCTAGAGGAGGAATATCGTAAAGGGGCTCAAGAAGATGATCCAATGCCTCCTGTACAGCCGTATCATTATGGGTCTCATTACTCAAACAGTGGAACAGTCTTGCACTTCCTAGTTAGGATGCCACCATTCACCAAAATGTTCCTGGCTTACCAGGGTAAGATCTAACAAACCAATGAGTAGCTGCTGCTCTCATTAAGAGGTGCCGTATAGGATTAAGATGGAAACAGCAACATGCAGTCCAGTAAAATATCAGAGTTTGAAAACTTTGTAAATATTATAAAATACATTAGAAATATATATGTATCCTGGATTTCGAAGGCATTAATGAGAGAATTAACTAATATACTCTTCCTCAAGTATCTAGCAATTTAATTTGCAAAAGAATGTACATCTCCTTTTGCTTTTTCTGTTGGAGCTCTGTGTCATTATTGGAGTTTTGTTATCTAAATTCCAAAGTTTTGGACAATTTGAAGTATTAAGTCACCAAAATAAGGTCAGTGAAAAGAAATAATTACAAGCAAAGTAATTTATAGGATGTTGGTGATAATGTTTTTACCTGAATGATTGTGCAAAATCTTAAGTCTGTTCAGTCCTAGAGTTAAGTTTGAAATAGTTTCTGAAGTGTGTATAGTTCATAAGTGTGAAGTAATACAATTTAATAGAATGGGGGGACATTATAAACAAAACAGCATAATATAAAGGGATGCAGAAACAGAGAAACGAATGCAATCACATAAACGAATCTATCAAAGTGACGGGACAATACAAGAAGGCTGATTTTAAAAAAAGGTGTATGGGATCCTTGGCATTAGAAGTAGAGGAATAAAGTGGAAAATTACTGCTTAGGGCTTATCTTAAGTATGATGCCCATTTCTGGACACAAAAATCAAGCCTGCATTGCAGTTCAGTACTGAGGAACTATTGCATTGTTGGAGGTGTCATCTTTCAAACAAGTCATTAAACAGATCCCCATCTACCTATTTGGTAGGATGCAAAAGATCCCACAGCACCATTTCAATGAAGACCAGGAAAATTATCCCAGATGTTCTAGCCAATGTTCATTCCTCAACCAACAAGGGGAAGAATGTTTTTTTAAAAAAAACAGAAATTGCTGGGAAAACTAGCAGGTCTGGCAGCATCTGTGGAGAGAATGCTGAGTTAATGTTTCAGGTCCAACAACCTGTCTTCGGAATGGGTCACAGAAAACATATCTGGTTATTATCACATTTCTGTTTGTGGGAGTTTTATTAATATAAATTAGCTTCTGTGTTTCCTACATTACAACAATGAGTAGTTTTTAAAGTTACTTAATGTCTGTAAAACACTTTAAAATGACCAGTGGCCATAAGAAGTTCTATATAAATATAAGCTCTATCTTTTTAATAGTAATCCTGAATTATGTTCCGTGTTTAGATCAAAGTTTTGATATCCCAGATCGAACATTTCACTCCATGAATACTACCTGGCGCCTATCCTCATATGAATCTATGACTGATGTGAAGGAGCTCATTCCAGAATTCTTTTATCTTCCAGAGTTCTTGGTCAATAGAGAAGGTACATAATAAGCCTATTAGGACCTACAAGCCAAATCATATATGCAAATATCAGAAACACAAATTTATGTCTTGAATAAAAATGTATTGATTGGTAAAATCTTGCAAAACTTGCATGTTTCAATCATTTTTCATGGTGATGATATGCTACAATGAATATGTAATAAGTGTAATATGAGTAATGAAGTAGCACAAGGTCCTGCTATGAAGTATTCTTCAATAAAGTACTTAGAAATGTGATGAACAAGTCCATGCAGCACAACGAGGGAAGTCTTGTTCTGGACTTTTACAAAACAGTTGTCCGAGAGTGGGAGACAACTGGATCTGTTGAGCAACTTGATGACTGTTTTTAAAGCTATAGTAGGGAACTTAAACCCTGTGGCCATGTAGTTTTTAATGAAGAAAAAGGCTGTAAGCTATAGGAAGATTTTGAGGGACTCGGCAAGTGGGTGGAATAATTGCAACCGGAGACCACTCTGGTTAGGGGAAGATAATGTATTTGGAGAGATCTAAGACAAAGAAATAAATGCCAGAATACCAAGAATTGTTATAAGAATATTAGGAGACCTTAGAGCATATGTCCATTGCCCAGAACAAGTTGATAAAGCCGTCAATAAGATACGAATGTTTAATATAAGAGCTGGGAGGATATTCTAGAACTTAATACACATTATTTAGGCCACAGCTGGAGTACTGCACGCAGGTTTGGTCTTTAATAAAGGAAAGATGTCATTGTGGTAGAAAGGGTACAGCGTACAGAGAGGATTTATAAGGAAGTTGCCTGGTTAGAGATTTTCAATTCTGATTGTTTGGATAAGGTTTAGTAATTTTCTTTGCATAGAAGGCTGGGGTAGTATATAAAATTCAGTGACCTAGATAGAGTTAATAGAAAGATCCTTTTCCTCTTGACTGAAAGATCCATAACCAGAGATGTAGATTTCTGATGAGAGGAAGTTTCAAACAGTTCTGAGGAACATTTTCACTATGAAGGTGGTAATGATTTTGAGCTCACTGCTTGAAAAGGTAGCAGAAACAGAAGCCTTTATAACATTTAAAAATAATTGGATATGCACTTGAAATGCCATAATCTACAAGGCCAGAAGCAGGAAACCAGGTTTAGGTTGGATGGTTATTCCTCTACAGCACAAGTATGATGGCTTTGTGACTGTAAATTTCTATGATTCTGTGATTTTTTTCAGTGCTATAAGCAAAAGTAACAAGTTCTGTTTTGAGACCATGTCAAGTAACATTGCCATTTACTATCATATGATCTGTTTCTGTTGTCATAATCTAACTTGCAGTAAATCCCATTTGCCCACACCCATGCTCCCTGACCTACAGTGGCTTCCAGTCCAATATGCCTTGATTTCAAATTTCTTATCCTTGTTTTCAAATTCCTCCAGCTTTAGCCCTCTGTCTGTGCAAATTCCAACAGCCTTACAGATCTCTGCTTTTCCAATTCTAGTCTTTTGCACAGACCCAATTTTCTTCCCTCCACCATGGGAAGCCATCCCTTCAATTTCACCCTCAAGTTCTGGAATTCCTTCCCTAAACCGTGCTTCCCCTCTCTTTCTTTTAAGACATTCCTTAAAACTGTCATCTTAGTTCAAACTTTTGGTCACCTGTTCTAATATCTCTTGTGTATTTAGTGCCTTACTTTGTTTGATTACTCCCCTGTGAATCACCATGGGATATTTTACTATGTTAAAAATGCAATATAAATGCAAATTATTACTGCTGTGTCAAATGAATTTGGTTAGCTTTTAAGTTGATGAACTAGATGATGTTATTGCAATGATAATTAAATCATGCTATTCTTAATTCTTTTAACAAATGTAAACTTTGCGGCCTGTGAAATGATTAAATCCATTTAGAGTGGTAATATTTTGTTTCCCAAATACATCTTTATGCTGTTGATCAACGAATCACTATATGGCACATGTAGTAAACTAGGCTCTGTTTTCAGGTTTTGACTTTGGGATGCGGCAGAATGGAGAAAGAGTAAATCATGTAAACCTTCCACCATGGGCTCGCAATGACCCCCGACTGTACATTCTAATTCATCGCCAGGCCTTAGAATCAGATCATGTTTCCCAAACAATTTGCAATTGGATTGATTTGGTGTTTGGAAACAAACAAAAGGGCAGAGCTGCAGTTCAAGCTATCAATGTCTTTCATCCTGCAGTAAGTCTACACCCCTCTCAACTTACAAATCATTATGAACCAGCTATCAAATGTAAGGGGAGCTAAATGTTTTATGAACATTTGTCTTAAATGCCCTTAGTCATGTCATAGTATTAAGAATAGTTGGAAGTATAATGCATGCAGAAAAATACATTATAATTACATATTAAAAAGCACTGAAAATGAAAAGATATTGCATTTTAAAATGTTATATGGAGTGTAATTCATCTTCAGAGGTTGATTGAAGCACTTCAAATGCTTTTAAACAATTTTGTTTGATTTTTGAACTCCCTAAGGTGCATCTGCACATTGCGGCCAGAATTTGGAGGCCAACCATGGCAGCACGGTGGCTCAGTGGTTAGCATTGCTGCCTCAGCGCCAGGGACCTGGGTTCAATTCTAGCTTCGGTGACTGTCTGTGTGGAGTTTGCACATTCTCCCCGTGTCTGTGTGGGCTTCCTCCTACAATCCAAAAATGTGCAGATTAAGTTGATTAGCCATGCTACGTTGCCCTTGGTGTCCAGGGATGTACAGGCTAGGTGGGTTAGCCATGGGGAATGCAGGGTTACAGGGATAGGGTGGGAGGTGGGGTTCTGGGCAGGATGCCCTTCAGAGGGTCGGTGTGGATTTAATGGACTGAATGGCCTACTTCCATACTGTAGAGATTCTACGAACTGCATGAATAAAATTAGTTTCTCCTCCTTCTGGATTTGCATCATTTGTGCTCCAAAACACAACACTGCTCTATCTAGTTTGAAAATGTTTGGTTTTGTTTTGGTTAGAAGTAAACTATTATGTTCTTTGATTAGGACTGGTGTATATTTTTAAGGAAAAGTACTTCATATGCTAAGAGCTGAGTACAGTTTTCCCCAGTTTTCCAGATGGGAAGACAAACGACCTGCTCTTTTCTAATCGATGCTCCTTCCTCTCAATCTTTCTCAATATTTCAGGTCACAGTGAAATAATATGAAGAATGGTGAATTTTAACCTTGAAATTACTTCCATGTTACTACTGTATATATTGCATGCACGTTATGAAGCAAGGAATTGGGATAACTGGGTAGCTCTTTCAAAGAGCTAACACAGGCATTTTGGGGGTTAAATGGCTTCCTATGCTAGATGATTGTATAATAATATAGTATGGAGATCATGGTGTGATTTTTATCTTGTCTGTATTTATTACTTTAACATATTGTAGTTTTCTTCTCAACTGATGTGATATCTGTACTAATAATTGGCAGTTACGATTTGAGAATTGATTCACTTGTAAATTGGACAAATGTTAATCCATTGTTATACTGATTGATCAGTATAATACATCTGTGAGTACCACCCAGAACAACTGCTGCAACTGGGACTTTTAAGGGAAACTTTGCATGGAGAGAGGGAAATAAGTTTACTGAAATTCAAACAGAAAATGCTTTAAGTAGTCAGCATTTCAGACACAACTTATGGAGAGAGAAACAGTTATTGGACTGAGTTGTCCAGTTGGGTTGCAATCCCAATCGTCAGCATCTCCAATCTCAACCACATCTCAGCTACCTATATTTGACCATGGTGGGACTTTCACCATGATCATCCTGCGGTCATTAAATTAAAAGGCCACCTCTGGAAGCAATGTACATTTAAGGATGATGGGAAGACCAGGGAAGCAGGCCTGTGATATCTGCCTGGGAAACTTGCTGAAGCCTTGCAAAAAGTTTTTATATTAGAAAGGTGAGCATAGCCACACTGTCTGGCCGTCATTGTAGACGGAAACCTCTCCACAGGTTTGCTCATTGCCACAGCTGTGGTCTTCATGTTTGAGCAGGTCTGTGCTGGGGTGAGTGACAAAGCTGCTGGTCTTTGTTGAGGGGTCGACATCAGGAAGATCCGAGTGATGCCATTACCTTTCCTCCAAATGGCTCATTAATGGGCCTAATTGTCTATATGGTACTGATTTGGCCCTGCTTCTAGCAAGATCATCCAGAGATTGAAATGTCTCAGGTGGCCGACCTGAAGATCTACATCACAAATTTGCTCATAGTATCTTTTCCTAACCTGCCTGTACAAAACTGGGAAAATTCAGCACATTGTTTCAGGTCAATGACTTTTTCATTTCCAGCCAGTTTCCATTACGATGATTGGCGATCTCTGCTATCTCTTGTGATGATGCTGTGGCTTTAAGAAGTTATTTTGTTCTTTTTTTCAAAAGGGAGGATTTGAGACAGGAGATGAGCTGGCTCGTGAAGGCCCATGAAGTAAACCAGCATGGGAGGCCTTGGTTTTTTTTTTTTTAAAAGTTGAAACAATAGAAGCAGCCTGGCTGGGTGTGGCCAGCCCTCTCAGACCAGGATTTCTAGTTTTTTTTTTTTTTAGTTTTTAGGTTTAGCTTTAGGCAGTTGCTGTTGGAGCCTCAACAGACTAGAAGCTCCTGGAGTTTTGGAGAAGTAGGACTTATCCTTTTCTCTCCTCAGTTACAACTAGAAACTGGAGTTTCTCTGTGCTGTTGGGTTACCTGTGAGCCAAATATATTTTTCTGAATTTGCCTTTTTGCCAGGGGACGTGTTTATGGGATGTTACTATATTGGAACAGTTAATAGTAATACTTAACTGTATTTGTTATTCGGTTAAGTTTTCCAGTAGAGTTATTCTAAGTTCATTCTTTGTTGTATTTTTAACTATAGTATTTAAATAAATTGTGTTTTGCTTAACATCAAGTAGTTTGACCAGTTGAATTGCATCTGCAACACAGCGTGTTATGTTTGCCTTTAAAATAAGAAAATGTTAGGGTCTAGGCTACCTTAAAATATTTTGAGGGGGGTCTGGTTCAGTCCATAACACCCTGAATACACCTTGATATTTAGCCAATCTTAGGTTGGGATCATGGTGCTCCTTCACTGGTGGGCTGCTGGCTGGAGAAGGACCTTCCTGATGCACTATACTGCCAGGTGTATATGAGATTGTACTGACACACAATCAATCAAAAAACATAATAAATTGAAATAGTCAAGAATATAATAAGTACATTTTCTTCAGTTTCCTCTTAATGTCATGCCCTTCATAGAACTGATCTTTGCATTTGAAGACCAATAAGAATAGGAGTAAATGTTATTTGATTTTATAATTATCTTGATTCATATTTTGTGATAGACATACTTTGGTATGGATGTGTCAGCTGTTGAAGACCCGGTTCAAAGACGAGCCCTGGAGACTATGATCAAGACCTATGGGCAAACCCCTCGGCAGCTCTTCACAACCACCCATCCATGCAGACATGGGCCTAGACACTCAATGGAGGGGGAGCTGCCTGCAGCTATGGGTCTCCTCGTGCAGTTTGCTTTCAGAGAGAGCAGAGAGCAAGCCAAGGAAGTTGTCTACCCGGTATATAGCCTTGTCTGTTCTAAGTGGTGTTTCAGTTTTCAAATTTAGAAGCAGTTAAGTTTTCCTTAGAATTTCTTATGGAATAGGCATGATGGCCCAGCTGTTCTTACCCTGCTTGTCAGTTTTAAATGTTGTATGTATTTGTAATTACTCTGCTTTTCAATAGAAAATGCATCTCTACTGTTTAAAACAAAAATGATTATCCCACAACTAGTCTTTTAATTCTTAGTGAACTGAGCATTTTCCAAATTGTTTGCTTTCTCTGTTCCCTTTTTTGCTAGGTTTCTTTTAGATTGGTTATATAATTTTATTCAATGTGAACAAATGATTATCAATTGATACATAGATACTTTGTTCTTCAAGGTGAAGAATTTCCTTCATTTAAAACCCTGATAAAATTTAAGCAGCTAATTGTCAATGATATAGTTTCCAGGCTTGGTGATTATTAGTAGCATAATATTATTAACCATAAATGAGCGTCCTTTTCAGATAAAAATGCTTGGAGGTCTGCAGGAATTGATCCATTGTTTATTCTAATGTGTGGCCTCTATCTCAGAGTCCTCTGCCATGGATTCAAGGACTGAAGTGGGGCGAGTATGTGGGATCTCCCAGTGCACCAGATCCTGTAGTTTGCTTCAGTCAACCCCATGGAGAACAGTTTGGATCGCTATTAGCATTGCCAACCAGAGCTATTTGTGGTCTGTCGAAGAAGTTTTGCCTTATGATGATATACAGTAAGGAGCAAGGTATAGAATGGATTTATAACTTTTCTTCTCTGCACAAATATTTCAGGAATTTATACTCAGCAGAAAAGCAGGTCATTCAGCCGAAGGCCCTAAGTGGTCTAGACTTGGGTTTATGCACCACTCAAGCCGCCTCCCACATTTTCTTCATCTGACAGTATCAGCATGTCCTTCTTTCTCACTCTTGCATTTATCTAGCACCCCTTAAATGCATTTTGCTGTTTGCAACAACTATCTATATGGTAATGAGCTCCACTTTAAAACCACATTCTGAGCTGCTTTTGAAATTATTATCCCTAATTTTGGTCTCTTTCCCCCCCGCCCCCACAACCCACAGTTGTCAGTACATCTCTCTGTATTGTAGCCTATTGAACCCCTTTCATAATATTAAGTACCTTTATCAGGTTACACCCCACCCATCCCCAAACAAAATGTCTCTTCTATGAAAAAAGGCCTCTATCTTTAGTTTTTCCTGATAGTTATACTTTCTCAGGTCTGACATCTTGTCTGTTTCCAATTTAATTTTAGGTGTTCGGAGTATGCACAGTACGGACATCCAGTGGTCTGCCATTTTGAGTTGGGGTTATGCCGATAACATGCTAAGACTGAAAAGTAAACAAAGTGAGCCCCCCATCAACTTCATCCAGTGCTCTCCCTTACATCAGGTATGAAGTATATTCCATAAATTAGGCCTTTATTTTAGTTTTCAAAACATTTGGAACTTCCTCATTTTTGCTTTTTAATCAACCGTGGTAAAAATAAGGAAAAAAGACGTGTAACAGAAAATGGATACTTTTAATGATGACACATACCAAGTTTATTTAGGGAATTTTTTTTAAACTGGTACAAATTGCTTGATTCCCCTCTTACCTGTCCACTGAAAGTATTTACAGCAACGACTTCTCTTCATGTACGTATATCATTATCTTCACAATCCTTCCTCTTACCCAACATCAGGCTGCTCCCTTGCAACATCATTCATACACATAGACACCTAAGGATGTTATTCTAAACCTTAATAAATCACTGGTTAGGCCTCGGCTCTATACTGTGGGCAATTCTGGGAACACATCTTTTAGGAAGGACGTCCAGGTTTTGGAGCGGATTTACCAGAATTATCGAGAGATGAGGGCTAAGTTCTAGCTTAATGCCTTTCTTGACATAAACACCAAAGCCAATTAGAGCCAAATTGCCAACTAATCAGTATTGTTTTCTTCCGTAGTTCAAATTATTGTGACAGAAATTTAGCATTCCTGTTTTTGCCTTGATGAGTGCAAGACAAAAAACTTCGGCAACTTGTATCTCTCTTCAGCAATATTCAAATTCAATATGAGGACTACTTAAAGACCAAGGATTATTCTCCATGAAGCAGAAAAGGTTAAGGGAAAGGAGCTAATGCAGGTTGCAAATTAACAAGGTTTTTGATAGACTAAAGAGGGAGAAACTGTTTTCATTAGCAGAAGGGTTCGTTAGCAGAAAACACGGGTTTAACATAATTCATAAAAAGAAGCTTTAGTGACCTAAAAAATTGTTTTATGCAGAAAATTGTTATGATCTAAAGCTCTGCCCAAAAGCATCATGAAAGCAAATCAATAATTTCGAGAAGAGTTGGATATATGTTGGGGGGAAAAAAATGCAGGTTTATGGAGAAAGAGTAGAGCATGGGATCAAAAGAATAGTGCATTCATACAGCCAGCATAGGAATGATAGGTCAAATGGCCCTTTCTGTGTTGTCATTCTATCATTCTATGAATTTTCAAATGTACCTTGATGATACCAAACATTAGCTCTGCACTAACCACTCCACTTACATGGCTTTTCACATAGTCATTGTTAATATATCTAATCTTTTGATAACATGCTGAACAAAAGACAGATGACATATAGATTCAAAACTTTTATATTTTACAGAAGTTCATAATCAAATTATATCTTAAGAGAAATATCTTAGGATTATAGTCTCATGTCGAATCTAATTGTAAATCGTCCATTCAATGGCTCCTTTTCAGGTTACAAGTTGTGCATGGGTGCCTGACAGTTGTCAGCTCTTTACTGGCAGTAAGTGTGGAGTGGTTACTGCATACTCTAACAGATTTACCAGCAGTATGGTATGTATACAAAAACATTTTTTGTGTGTGTGTGGGGTTACAGCCTGCCAACTGTTTGATTCATTTAGGTTTTAACATGATTATATGCCTGTAATTATTAGAGAGATTTCTTACGGTTCTACTTTAGGCAATTATTGCAACTATTTGAAAAGGTCACCTAAAAAAATTTTACTTTCTTTCGGAATTTTATTAAAATCAGAATACCATTAGCCATGGCTGTGTTGCTATCACTTTTGCTTAGGTCTTGAAGATGTTAAGAAGACTTATCTTTGTGTCATCATGCCTCCTTTAGTTTCTCCACCCCACCCCCCCCCCCCCAAAGTATATGATTCTTGTAAATCCTAACCAACACTTCCATACTCCTTGACCTTCCTACACTTACAAGGCTTGATTCCCTCTTAGATGAGTCTGCGTCTGTTGGCAACTGCTGAGAGACCCATCTAGGTTCTCATCACTAATTGCTTACAGGCAACCATCTAACAACTCTAATCTACTCTCTCCCTGACCTTCCCACTCAGCCCACATCTCCTTCCCAACTCATTCCACTTACTCTAGACCTTTGTCAATGGATGAGCTATCACTGCTTTTCTCCCCATCTTCCTCCAGAAAGTTTATTCATTCATGAACAACATCCTTGTAATCCATGAGCTTCATGTGGGTGATTACATCAACATCATGGCCATGATTAAAATATATCTGAGGGATAATGACATCATTCTTCTAGGTGAAACACCCATGCTTGTCTATACCTTTCCCGTTTTACCTCAACCAGACAGCCGAAATAATGGCATTGTTCTTATCACCAAGTCTCACTATGGTCTGTTCCATTAGTCCTCCAGCACATTGCCCTCCTTTGAGGATTCTGCCTTATTCCACTCCCTCACCTCTCATTTAAAGATTGGTTCTTTAATACACACTCAAGTACCATGTTATTTTTCTCATCCAAATTAATTTCAACCTCCAATTTAATCATTATCCTCCAGTACTCCATGAATCTCTCCATCCATGTAAACTCTCAGACCCCAATTCATGCCATCCAATTGGCCTCACCATCTCTTAGCCTCATTATTTCCATTGTATCAATCATATGTGAGGTCATCACTAACCAGTTTCTTATAAAGCACTCCACCTGCATCCCACTTTGTCTACCTTCTGCGTCTGTCCCTGAAAATCTGTTTCTACCTTTACCGAATGCTGATTGTCTGTCCTATAGATCTCCAGTCAGCATAACATTTCTGAAGCTAATGATCTGCTTAGCCATATCTTCACCTCAACTATGATGTAATCATCTTCATTAAAACCATTGCACTTGCTGTCCGATCCTGGCCATTCCCCTGGAACAGCCTTCGTCTGCACTCCCTTAAATCCAAGGGATGTAGACTAGATGCAGGCTGCCACTGTGACACAAGATCCTCCTCCACTGTTGTACAATTTGGCACTGACTTATCTACTCTGATCCCACTTTCCATCCCAAAGCCTTGAATGTTATGACACTTGAAGTGTTCATCCAAGTACCTTTTTAAAGGTTATGAGAATTCCTGTCTCTACAGCCCTCCTACGGAGTGCATTCCAGATCCCCGCCTCCCTCTGGGTAAAAAGCTTTTTCCTCAAATCCCTCTAAACCTCCAACCCTTCACATGAAAATTTTAGCCCCCTTGTTACTGACCCTTCAACCAAAGTTCCTATCCACCTGTCTATGCCCTTCATAGTCTTATATGCATCAATCAGGTCCCTCCTCAGTGTTCTCTGCTCTGAAGAAAACAACCCAAACCTATCCATCCTTTCTTCATAGCTAAAATGCTCCATCGAAGGCAATATCCTGGTGAATTTCCTCTGCATTCCCCCAAGTGGAATCGCATCCTTCCGACAGTGTGGTGACTAGAATGACACACAGTATTCCAGCTGTGGCCTAGCCAAAGTTGTATTCAGCTCCAACACGATCTCCCTGCTCTTTTATAATCTATAAAGGCAAGTGTCTCATACGCCTTCTTAACCACCTTGTTAACCTGTCCACCAGCTTCAGGGATTTGTGGACAAGCACCCAAGATCCCTCTGTTCCTTTGAGCTTCCTAATGTGCTACCATTCATTGAGGACCTCTTGTCTTGTTACTGATTCCAAAGTGCATCACCTCACACTTTCCAGGGTTAAATTCCATCTGCCCATGTGACCAACCCATCTATATCTTATTGTAACCTAAGGCTGCCTTACGTATTAAAAACTCAGTCTAGTCTGTGTCATCTGCAATCTTAGAATCCCCGGTCCCCCACACACGCACAAACATGCCCACACAAGCACACACACGCGCGCACATTCTCAGATATAGAATGATAAGGAATCCAGCATTGATCTCTGTGTCATGGACATCGGCCTCCAGTCATACAAACAGCCTCTACCACCACCACCTGTCTCCAACCACTAAGCAAATTTTGGATCCATCTTGGCAAGTTACCCTGGACCCCTCAAGTGCTTTTATCAGTCTCCCATGTGGGACCTTGTCAAAGGCCTTGCTGAAATCCATTTAAACTACATCAACTGTACAACCCTCATATACAAGATGATCAGAGGATTAGATAGGGTGGACAGTGGGAGCCTTTTTCCTCCGATGGTGATGGCTAGCACGAGGGGACATAGCTTTAAATTGAGTGGTGATAGATATAGGACAGATGTCAGAGGTAGGTTCTTTACTCAGAGAGTAGTAAGGGCGTGGAATGCCCTGCCTGCAAAAGTAGTAGACTCGCCAACTTTAAGGGCATTTAAATGGTCATTGGATAAATATATGGATGATAATGGAATAGTTTAGGTTAGATGGGCTTCAGCTTGGTTTCACAGGTCGGCGCAACATTGAGGGCCGAAGGGCCTGTACTGCGCTGTAATGTTCTATGTTCTATGTACATCCCTGATCCAATTGGAGAATTCTCTCCAATAATTTCCCTATAACTGATGTGTGCTCAATAGTCTTAATTCCCTGGTTTATCCCTACCACCCTTCTTGAAAGGTGGAACCACGTTAGCTGTACTCTAGTTGTCTGGCACCTCCATTCTGGCCAGGGAGGAATTAAAAATTTGGATCAGAGCCCCTGCAATTTCTTCCTCCCCTCTCATAGTAGTTCTCTTCTCGTTCCTGCAAGGTTAGCTCTAGTGTATCACCACCTATTTCCATCTGTGTACTGCCACTTGGTACCATTTTTGAAAATACGTCAATGTTCCACGTTGCACTCCGACAACACCAAATCTGCCTTACCATCACTCTTGACCTCTCTGCTGTCTCTAATATTGTCAGACAGCTTATCAGTTCTGCGTCACTGGATAAAGAGAAATTTCCTTAAATTAACTATTGGAATGACCAAAGCCTTTGACTCTGACCCCACCACAAACTCTGTTCCCTGGTCACTGATTCCATCAAGCGTCTGAGGCGGAATCAGGCTCTTTTACAATTTGGTGTCATATTTTACCATGAGAGAACCTTTCAAGCACACATCTGCAACACGTCATTCATTTCCAGATCCAAAGGATCACCTGACTTCACACCTGCCTCAATTCATCTGCTGCTGAAACCCTTATCCATGCCTTTGTTACTGCTAGATGAGCTTATTCCAATGAAGTCCGAGCCAGACTCCCATCTTGTACCCACTAAACTGAAGTCAGCAAAAACTCTGCAACTCATGTCTTAACTCGGGCTAAATCCTGTTCTCTCCATGTGTTCACTGACTACTGTGACTCCCAATTAGCAACGCTTCAGTTTTGAAATGCTCATCCATGATTTTTAAATTTCCTAATAGCTAACCCTCCCAAATTCTGTAATTGTTTCCAGCCTGACGTCCCTCTCCCAGTATCTACACTTCTCTAATACAGTGATGTTGAGAACTCTCAATTTTAATTGCTCCACCATAGGTGACTGCGCTTTCAGTTGCTCACGTCCTCAAACTCTGGAATATCTCCCCCTACATGTCTCCCCTTCCATTTCATCCTTAAGACCTATCTTTTTGACTGAACTTCTGTTCGTCTGCCCTTAAAACGCTGATGTGGCTTGTTGTATCTTGTTATTAAAACGCTTATGTAAAGCAGTTTGGAGCAATTTATTACTTTAAAGACCCTGCATAAATGCAAGCTGTTGTTGAATCAGAGGATTGTGTGTTCCAGCCATGCTCCAATACTTCATGTATTCTAGGAGACGCTGTCAATGCAGTACAGCAGAAATGCTGCACTGTCAGAGGTGCTGTCTTTCAGATGAAAAAGTAAATCAAGAACCCTCTTGAAATTCTTTAAGATCCTATAGTAATATTAAAAGAAGAATAGGGAGTTCTTCCAGGTGCTTTGGCTAATATTTATCCCTCAAATGAAAAACGTAGAAAGAGATTATCTGATGGCAGTTTGAACTATTGAAACTGTCCGTGCATTTCCTATATTAAAACATTGATTTTGCTTAAATTTTTAGCAAAGATTTTTAGCTCAGGTTGTGGATGAGGTTGTTGACTTGCTCGCCGAACTGGCTTGTTTTTGTTCAGACATTTCGTCATCATGCTAGGTAACATCATCAGCGAGGCCTTCGATGAAGTGATGTCGTTCTACTCTGCTTGGAATTTATACTGTCCGGTCCACTATGGTGAGTAGTGTCATTTCTGGTTTTGATCTGTATGGGTTTGTTATATACAAATCATACAGATCAAAACCGGAAATGACACTACTCACCATAGTGGACCGGACAGTATAAATTCCAAGCAGAGTAGAACGACATCGCTTTATCGAAGGCCTCGCTGATGATGTTACCTAGCATGATGACGAAATGTCTGAACAAAAACAAGCCAGTTCGGCGAGCAAGTCAACAACCTCATTGATTTTGCTGCTTAAGTATTTAATTGACCGTAACGCCTTATGAGATGTCCAGAGGCAACATAATATGATATGAAAGATTTCTCCCATGTGTTTATTTCTTACTGTGTTTGCTATGTAGTGATTAACATTAGTGCAGGATAGTGCACCGATAACTCACTTTGTTTGTATTCTTCAGTCTTCAGAAATTGAAGTGGAAACAAAAGTCCACTTATATGGGCACACTGCTGAAGTAACGAGTCTGTGTGTTTGCAAACCGTACAGTATTCTAATCAGTGTCAGCAAGGATGGGACCTGCATTATATGGGATTTGAACAGGTACGTAAACATCCTTTAAACTGCTACACCACATATTTAGGTATTTGATGTAGACACATCTATAACAATGAGTGAGAGAGAGAATGAGAGGAAACCTTTTACTCAGATGGTGGTGAATCTTTAAAATTCTCTACCCCAGAAGTTGTGGAAACTCAGTCTTTTAGTCTTTTGAGTATATTTAAAGTAGAGATTGATAAATGTTTCATCATTAATGACATTAAGGCTTATAGGAATACTCTGGGTAAAAGGAATTGAACTATTCTATCAACCACGTACAGGTGCAGGCTCAATGACGTCTCAATGGCCAACTGATTTTTCAATGAATGAAAAATGGGTGTTTGTGCACGGGAGGAAAGACGGAGAGGAGGAGAATGAAAGGGAGGGGTGAAGTTTGGGAAGTAAAGAGGGAAGATTATCAGTGGGAGGAGAGATTGTAAACCAGGAGATGACTATGACATTGATTAGAAGGGATAAAATAGAAAGCAAAGTAAGAATGAAGGGAGCGGGAGAGTTCAGTTGGGTGATTGTGTTGAAATTCCACCTTAACTGGGGACGTTGCTGTGTGCATTAAACACTGGGAGGTGGTGGGTACTTCAAATGCAGTACTTATCCAAATAATTTTAGATGTATTAAGGGCTTCTGCCTCTACCCCCTTTCAGACAGAGTTCCAGACTTTCACCCCTTCTGAGTAAACAAGATCTCTTCTCCCCTCTAATTCTTCTCCCAATTACTTTACATGTTTGCTCCTTGGTTATTGTCACCGTTGTTAAAAATAGTCCCTCCCTATCTAGGCCCTTATAATTCTGAAAACCTCGCTCAAATTTCACCTCAAACTCTCCTGTTTCAAAAAAAAAGCCCTCCAGCCTATCCAGCATTTCCTCATAGCCAACGTTCTCTTTTCCTGACAACACCCTTGCAAATCTATTTGTTTTTTTATATCCTTATAATACGGTTACCCAGTAATTTATAACATGCTAAATTGTGTAATAGGTAGGGATACTTCACCATGACTCTAATGCAAAACTTAAATATGTCTACAATTGTAACTTTGTTTGAAGACAGTGAATTGTGAAGTAGTTATTTACAGCTGTTGAGAACTTCTGTCTCTGCTTTCTTTGTCCTGCAGGTTGTGCTATGTTCAAAGCTTAACAGGACATAAAAGTCCAGTGACAGCAGTTTCTACAAGTGAGACAACTGGTGATAGTGCAACAGTTTGTGATTCTGGTAACATATCCTTCTCTATTCGTCAGATTATGGATACTTAGTTGTTATTTTTGACAGAGAATGCAATGTGAACTGTTCCCAGGCTAACATTGGCTTATTTTAGCCATTTACAGAAGGTTCTATAAATTATGTGGATGTGATTCTCCATTCTGACTCCTTTCCCTTCACTTCAATGACAAATCTCAAGAATGATTGATTGCCATTTAAAAATTGGAAATGTCATGATGATGTGACAATGGCACATTGGGATAGTTCAACGGTTATATTACTCTGAAACTGGCTGTTGAAAAGGATCAGGAGAAACCTTAAATAAATATGAAATAAAGTGCAGAATAAAACCAAAGGAAAAATCATTAACTAGCCCTTTGTTGAAACACCTTTGTTTTCTCCAAGGATCCATGTTAGGTTTCCTGAGACTTTTAGTATCAGTGAGCACAGCAGTTTGTGCTCTGTAACTGTTACCCTGAGAAATTATTATAATTGTACAATTTTTTTTCCAGTTGGTGGTGGTAGTGACCTGAGGCTGTGGACAGTAAATGGAGATCTCAGTGGCCATGTACATTGTCGAGAAATAATCTGCTCAGTAGCTTTTTCCAATCAACCTGAAGGTGTATCTGTCAATGTTATTGCTGGAGGGCTAGAAAATGGTGTGGTAAGGTCAGTAATATACTTCTCTACTTAAGCTGTAGCTGTCTTATATTTGTGTGCCCATTCCTAGCTTGAAATAGAATGTCTAGGATTAGGCACAAACAATTAGTTTAGTAAATTCTGAAAATATAACTTGTTCCTTCAGAGTGAATACCCTGTAGCACATCTGTAATATTTGAATAATTAAAACTCTTCCTATCAAGTATTTACCTCCTCCTTATGAAATTAAAGAAAGCATGTTTTGATAATGGAGTCTTAATTATCTCCGTACTTTGATCAAGTAATCCTCTAGGTTCCTCTAACTGTAAAGTACATTTGGTCTTTGCTCCATGTGTGGAACACAGAGGTATCTAAATAATAAATCACCCAAAAATATACTTCCTTAACTCTTTGCCATTTGCATTGTAATGGTTTACAGGTAGATATATATATGAATACTTACGTACATGTTGTGTTTCAGTTATGTGAGGATTATGTTATGGTCCTGAATTGCCAAAAACGTGATTGAGCAGTTCTGAGGCACACATTTTCTTGCACTGGCAGCCAATGGTGTTGAGCTGTGTTGATGTTTGCATGGGAATCACTATCTACTACTCATCTCCTTTAAATAGGCTACTGTGCAAAAATGTTTTGGCTTGCGTGCGTATTTGGTCGGGATTTGTAAAATCTAGTGAGGAAGTTGTACTGGAACAGAAATGTTTAATTGTTATTGTACAAAACCGTAAATAAAACTCTGTATTGAACTGATACTTGTGATACTAAAGCATTGATGGTCCAACTATTGGGCAGTATTCCAGAGAGAGATTGATGAGAGACCTTGAGCCAGTTCCTGTGAACACAATATCCAGATCTGGGCTGACGAGCGGCAAATAATATTTTGTTATGCAAGTATCAAGCAATGACCATCTCCAAAAGGAAAGGCACTCCTCTTCTTGACATGCATTACTATCTAATTCTCGATCATCAACATCATATTCACCAGAGTGCCATATATTGTATTGGTTCTTAATTAATACTTTGTTCAAAAAGACAGGGATAATAGAGGCATTGCAATCAGGAAGGAGAAGTGAGAAATTAACATAATGCAGGTCAGTTAGCCCACGGTTTACAAGTGGTGTACTGCCACAAGGTGAGAAGTGTGCCACCAAGTTTCCGGGAAGCAGTGCCATTTTACCTGAGCATCAAGGTTGCATCTGTGCTTCCAATCTCCACCAGAGTCTGTGTCTATTATTGAAGGCAGTATTTGCTGACGCCAGGTGCCCCCGTGCACATTTCCAGAGCCTCCCCAGATCAAAAGGCTCTGCGCCTACTAGCGGGCCCTGGTTTCCCGCTAACAAGGTAAATTGCAATTTGCTCTCATCCATTCTTCACAGATAATAGAAATAGTTGAATTGAGCAGATTTTGAAAATGTCTGTGTTCAGCCAAAGACAGTGTATTTTTACCAGTGGATTTGAAACACTAATGTTTCTGATCCTTCTTTACCTTATTGTGTGCACTGTGTTGCAAACTTCCTCCAGTTAGGCCATACCCCTCTCCTCCTCTCTGTATTTATTTCTGAGCTTCCTTCCCCCTCTCCATTTCTGAAGAAGGGTCTTGACCCGAAACTTCAACTTTCCTACTGCTGTGATGCTGCCTGGCCTGCTGTGTTCCTCCAGCTCCGCACAGTGTTGTCTCTGACTCCAGCTCTGCAGTTCTTACTATCTTTAATCGAAAGAAGATTCATTTATCGAAGGAAGCAGGTGACTGATTAACATAACTGCAGGTTTTGAGGATGCTTCAAACAGGGTCAATAAGAGTAGTATGTTTGATGTAGACTGTATGAAATTTAGCAAGGCTTTTGTTCATGTTCCACAAGGGTGTGTGTGTGTGGGATGGGGTGGTGTTGGGGACTGTGACATTGATGGCACAGTGGCAAGTTGGTTCTAACATTGACTCAGACAAAGGAAAGAAAGGGTAATGCTTATTGGGAGATTATTTCCAATGGAATTGTACATGGGATCTAGATCACTTGCTTTTCATGATTTATACCAGTGATTTGGGGTTGAATGTAGGGATTATGGTTAGGAAGTTGACCCACAAATTAGCAGTGTAGCTTTTATAATAAAGGAGAAAGCTGTAGACGTGGGAAACTATAGAGGGTCCTGTCAGATGAATGGGGCAGTAAAAAATGGGATGCTCAATTCACAGAAGGTTAAAGTAATATACTTGGGGAAGACTAACAAGGCACAGAAGGAGACGATTTGACTCATTGTGTTTGTGCCAACTCCATGCAACAGCAATTCACTGACTGTCACACTCCTGCCTTTTCACCGTAGACCTGCAAATATTTGATAATGACACAATTATTTTTTGAAAGCTGTTATGGAAATCCTCTTCCACCATGCTTCCATGTAGCACACTCCAGGTCCTAATCACTCACTGTTTCCATATATCTCCATTGCTTCTTCTGCCAGTCATTGCCCCCTGACATAATTCTCTGACTAATGGGAACATTTTCTCCCCACCTTTCCTGTCTAGACATTTCATAATTTTAAAGACTTCTATCAAATATCTTCTTAATTTTTCTCCAAACAGAATAGCCTCAGTATCTCCGATCCATCTACATAACTGAAGTTTCTCATCCCCAGATTCATTCTCAAGAATCTTTTCTGCACAGTCTCTAAAGCCTTCATGTTTTTCTAAACTATGGTGCTCAGGACTATGTTGGAGCCAAGTGAGTGTCTTGTATAGGTTTATCATAACTTGCTTACTTTTCTACTCCATGTCCAGAATCCATTATTCCACCAGTCTTTGTCCTTTTGAAGTTTAATGTTCCTCCTTACAGCTCTCAAATGTTACTATGTTTTGTATCATCTGCATGTTTTGACATTGTGCCCTGTATATCAAAGATAGATCATTAATATCAAACAGAGCTGGAGTTGAAATACCTACTTCTGAGCAACCAACCATAAACTTTCCTCTAGGCTAAATAACAGTTGTTCATTATGACTGTTTCTTATCAAGTTGACCAACTACTGGAGTTCTTGAAAAAAGATGACCTTTTAACATTAATGGGGGGAGTAAGCACAATACACACGGCAAGGCACTACATTTGAACTTACGCAGTCATAAACTAGAGATTCTACATTTATTTGCAAAGGATTCACTAACTCAGCAATTTAAAGTTTTCTTGTATCCCAGTTAATTCAGAAGCTCTTTGTTTACAACTCTATTCTCCCCCACCTTGGAATGTCTCCCTCTTTCTTAGTGCCTCCTACTCTCCCCAAACCCCATTGCAGCCCTCGATCCACATTGCCTCCAAATCTGGCAGTTGGAAGTGCTAGATGCAGCAAAAGGTTCTTTTCACCCCTGCAAAGGCCCCCACCACCACCTCTTCTAAAAATGGCTCCTCATCCCAGTGCCAGCAAAAATCAGCATCTGGCTTTCCATCCCAGCATTAACAAAAGCTGGCACCTGACTGTAAGACCATAAGTGCAGGAGCAGGCCATTTGGTTGTGCTGCCATTCAACTGGATCATTGTTGAGCCGATAACCCTCGAGTTCGCTTTATTGCGTTTTCCCCATGACCTTTGCTACCTTTCCTGATTAAAAATCAACCTATCTCAGCCTTGAATATGATTAATAACCCAGCCTCTGTAGCCATCTGGAGTAAAGAATTTCACATGTACAAGTCTCCGAGAGCACAAATTCTTCCTCATCTGTCTTAAATGGGGGACTCCTTACCCTGACGTTTTACCCTTTGGTTCTAGACACCCCCACAAGGGGAAACAACCTTGTCAAGCCTACTAAGAATCTTCTCTTCTGAGGAAGGGTCACTGGACCGGAAACGTTAACTGATTTTTCTTCTCAGATGCTGCCAAACCTGCTAAGCTTTTTCAGCAACTTCTGTTTTTGTAAGAATCTTTTCTGTTTCAATATGGTCACCTCTCATTCTTCTAAATTGTAGTGAGTAGAGGTCCAACCTACTCAACCTCTCCTGGTAAGAAAAGCCTTCCATATAGAGTCAAAGAGCTGTACAGCATGGAAACAAGCCCTTTGGTCCAACTCATCCATGCCGGCCGGATATCCTAAATTAATCTAGTCCCATCTGCCAGCATTTCGCCCATTATCCTAGCAATAACCATTTGGCTCAGCCTATTCAGCCTCTCCCTATAGCTCAAACTGTCCAACCCTGGCAACATCCTTGTAAATCTTTTCTGAATTCTTTCAAGTTTCACAACATTCTTCCTATAGCAGAGAGACTAGAATTACACACACTGTTCCAAAAGTGGGCTAAACAATGTCCTGTACAGCCACAACGTGACCTCCCAACTCCTATACTCAATGCACTGACCAATAAAAGCATGCATACCAAATGCCGCCTTCACTATCCTGTCGTCTTGCCACTCCACTTTCAAGGAACTATGAATCTGCACTCCAAGGTCTCTTTGTTCAGGAACACTGGCCAGGACCTTACCATTAAGTGTATAAGTCCTGCCCTGATTTGCCTTTCCAATATGCAGCACCTCAAATTTATTTAAATTAATCTGTGATCAACAGAGTGAACCTTCTCTGGATTGCCTCCAATGCTAGTATTTTTTTCTTGGGTAAGGGAACTGAAACTATTCACAGTATTCTAGGTGCAGTCTAACTAATACCTTGAATAGTTTTAGTTAGACATCCCTATTTTTATACTCCATTCCATTTGCAGTCCCTATTGCCTGCTGAACTTGGATGCTAGCCTTTTCGTGACTCATGGATGAGACCCCACAAATCCCTCCATGCTGCAGCTTTCTGCAGTCTCTCTCCATTTAAATAATGCTCAGCTCCTCTATTCTTTCTACCAAACTGCATAACCTCTCATTTTTCCACATTAAATTTCATCTGCTAAGTTTTTGCCCACTTGCTTTAACCTGCCAATAGCTCTCTGCAGACATTCGGTCATTCTCAATACTTGCCTTCAATTGATTTTTGTGACAAATACAAACTTGGCAATAGTACATTCACGTTAGTCATCCATATTAATAAATGTTGTAAATAATTGTGGTTCCAGCTCTGTTCACGGTGGAAACTGAAAGAACTGCGGATGCTGTAAATCAGGAACAAAAACAAAGTTGCTGGAAAAGCTCAGCAGGTCTGGCAGCATCTGTGAAGGAAAAGACAGTGTTAACGTTTTGGGTCCATTGACCCTTCCTCAGAACTGTTCTGAGG